CTACTGAAAAAAAAGTAGCGCACCAGGTTTCACGGGCTAGTATTAAGTCGCTTCCGATGATTAACAGTCCTGTAAAGTGAAATGCGCGGGAAACCGCTCGTTGTCAAATTTAGGTCCCTTTAGCCTGGCACCAAGCCGTGCAATCACACCCATGCAGACACCAATGTGTAGGCCTACACTATCGTCGTCTTTGTTCTGTCGGCACGCTCAAGCTCGGATTACATTTCGTGGATTCTTGGCTGCAGTCTCTCACTTTCTGTAAACATAATGACACCCTAAGGAAAGCCTGAATCTGCCTTTGGTGCTCATAGGAACTTGCCTCACCGTTACTTCCAGACGGCACCGGACGACCAATCTCAGGCCAGCAGTGTCTACGTAAGCCTACGTGCACTCGCTGCTGTCGATAGGCTACGGGCCATGTTAAACCCCGGCCAGCATTCAGGTAAAGACAACTTGAACCCAAAATTTCACTTTCTCACAAAAAGTCAGCGCGTGGTTGGTCATCGGCTGCGTCCGATAATCGAATAACTTGGCTGCGGCTTGAAATTTCGCACGAATCTGTGACAACTTGCGGTCACCATTGACTTGTGCGTGATTTCAGGACGTAGCCAAGTTATTCGAATACGGCTGATGATTTGTTCCAATCTGCGAAATGCGTGCGAATCCGCAAACACGCCCGAAGCCACTCTGGGCCACGCTGGCATGGAGGGCCGGGTGGAATCATAGACCTAGAGGGTTTTTCTCCTCCAGGTCTATGGTGGCATCAAGCTGCGCAGTTGCTCCTTGCACTTAAAAATGTGTACACGGACGTGTATGGTCTTTTGTAGTTCTATAGGCAAACTCAAGTTTGGTTTGCCTACAGAAGCAAGTTTGTTGGATTCTTGGCTGTAGTCCGTAAAACACCCAGTAATTCGTGATCTGAAATGTTTCTGAGAAAGCTCAAACCTGCGTTCTCGTCGTTCATTTCCATGTAGAAAAACTACGTTGGGCATGTTAAGGCCTCATTTTTGTCAGCTAGATAGAGGGCGCGGTGGACGACGAACTCCAGCGTTGTTCTAGTGGTATAGTCTCCTTGTATCCCTGACNCATTTTATTTAGGTTGTTGATCGGCTATGGGCCATTTTAGATCCAGCATTCAGGTATAGAAAATCATTTAAATAATTCTATCCTAAACTTGCTTACTGACACGATGAGAAAATCAATAACGGGCCAGGGTTTAGGGATGGTGTAGGTGTAGGCCTATGTCTGTCTGAGTGTTTGTAAATTAGTGTAAATCCCCCCCCCCAAATAGAATGATTTCCATCCAAATATGATAATTTGTACACTCCAATAGTGCAGCGTCAACTGTAAAGATAAAACATAATTCTGCAAGCATCTTAACTTATAAAAAAGAGGAAAGACATAGCCCTATATCTTCCAATAACAGATGCAAGAATTATAGTCCAGGTGTAGGTAGGTCCCCAAGGTTTTTCTTTTTTCTGCGAAGGGGATTTGAAGTCCAAATGCTGCTGGTCAGCTTGTCTTTGATTGTTAACTGGAAAACTGGACTACTTTTAATAGTTTGATGAAATTCAACAAGTACAATGTATAACTTGCAAGTTTAAAATTTAAAAAGACGCCCTGCTTTAAAAATGCATGTTGTTAGCCGGGCTGTCTGACATTATTCGATGTAAATGTAAAACATTCCTGAATTAATGTTACAGGCTAGTTTCCTCAGGACCATGGAGGGCGGGCAACAGAAAGGCCATTTTGTGACAAACAGTATTTCTGTCATAACCAGTGATCTGATGATGGATGAACTAGCGTGGTCGCTGTGGAACAGGGTCTTTTGGATAGCGTCCGAACTGTTTGGTGCTGTAAGTTCCTTTCTTTTTATAGGGGAAGCATGATATGATAAGCATTAGGCCTATGCACAGAAATCCTAAATCAGCTATGCTCCTCGCATCATGTTTTATGTTATCATGTTTGTGCCACAAACAAGCATCGTTGCGTAGCAACGTTAAGTATCAGGGAGCACACATTCTTAGAAAGCGTAATTGATGGGTTACAGCATGGGAATGATTCAAAAGTCCATGGGCTTAATGGTTTGGGAGAAAACCTCGGAAATAACAAAACGAATTGTTGATGATGTTTTGTTGTTACGTACCAATTTCCGTACGTACAGACGGGCAATTTTATCCCATTGTCAGCTGTCTACTTCTGAAAGAGGAAAAATCATAGAAAATGATTAATTACGAAGTTACATTCTTTGCTGGAAACCTAAATTGTTGGGCCACAGTACCGGATAACTGCCTGTCCCTCAGCCTTATGCGTCGGAAATGCAACTGAATTGTTCCTTGTTTACAAATTCCTGTTTGTATGCCTGTCAGACGAGCACTTCCATCATTGGATTAGCTGTCTGTATCTGACGATAAATTGATGGGAGAATAAAGACAAATCCCGACAAAATATACCGTTAAAAATTAAAATGAATAGTTGGGCTACAACATCAAATAGCTGCCGTGTCCTAGGTCTTATTGTTTGGAGAAAATGTTGGGATGCAACGATACTTTGTTGCTTGTTCGCGCGTTTTTGCGAATTCCTTTATGTGTGTCCACGTCGGATAACTTTGACCCTGACCCCGCAATACGCCAATGGTACCGACCATTGTGATCTTGTGATCGTAGATTATGCAAATTACTTCTGGCTTGCTTCATGCAAATTTTGCATACCTCGTGTACACTGTAGTATTGTTGCCTATACACATCCGCTCCAGATGTCTGAAAAGAATTCCTGAGATTCCAGTAAAATATTGATCAACGCAAAGGGGAGTTCTCTCCGTCTCATATCTTGCTTCAGATGTTTCTTCCTACCATCCGCCATTCATCACCCCAAATTCAATGTGAACAACTTTGTATGTTGCATTCTTATGGTGATGTGAAAGTGGCACTGCAACTGATAATTTGTATACCCTTTGTTTCTCAATCCGCCGCGACCAGGTGGGGCTGGTATGCAAGCTGTCTGACGCTGCAATTGATAGACAGCGCGCACCGGCACACTTCAATGGCTATAGTAACGCGCACTACGGAAATTGGTGTCCATAAATATAAATAACTTTGAGAGTGGACTTCTTTTGTTTAGCTTAATTCGGCCAGGCGTCCGCCCGGAATTAGGCAAGACAGTCCTATACAATTTGTTGAAAATGACTGAAGTTTTACCAGTTAGCACAGTGTTAGAGAAAATAAAATCAAAGTTTTATGAATTTTGAAAACCAACGTCCGCGTCAGTTTTTGCTCCTGCGTTTTGCAAGATTGCGACGAAGGAAAGGAACATTTTCAGGTTGGTCTGCGCATGGTATACACTCTTCAGCAGACTAACGGAGTTTGGTTTTGAATAACGCTTGAAAGTGTCAAACCACAGAATAAGGGAGTCATACTCATCTTACAAGCATATACCACGTGTTCATGTAATTGATCCTGAGAGTTTTTTGTTTGTTCCACTGAATAACAATATTCTTAAGATGGTGGGAAACCTGTACCTATCACCAAGGACGCAGGTGGATCAATGGCGAATGAATTGTCAATCAGTCCATCGTTGGCCCTAGCGTCATCTTGAAGCACGTCCAAAATGATGTTACATCGGGCGCATATCTGACAACGCTGCGATGACCAACAGGCTGCTATTTTGAACAGAAACGACCTCGACATCACTAACACCAGATGTATGTGGAGACTCTTTCCGAGTTGCAAGAACATGTCAAAAGGAGGGTAAGGTAAGTTTCCTTTTCCAGTTGACTTTACTTGAAGACAGCTTTGCATAAGTTGTTGACTTAATCACATCGACTTAATCACATTTGAATCGACAAGTACCTAAAAGTGACTGAAAGCAAATCTTTAATGAAGAACGTTACGGTAATGAGCTTTCGGTAGAGGCCCATTTCTTAGTTCGGCAGCCAAGTTACGTAAAAGTCTCAAAATTAAAAAAAAAATTCACTGAATTTAGATTAGGTCTTAACGCGGCATTTCACCCTTTACACAACTGTTATCAATTTCACTCTGTAATACCGGCGTGCCGGGATCGAGCCGGTCGATTGTGATTCCCCTCTCCCCCTGCTTTTTGTTCATCGACTGGAAGAAAACCTACTCCTTTACGGACAATCTCGGCAATACGTCGAAACTCTTAGGAATCCTTGTTGGCAAGTTGATCGGTGTGTATAAACCGCCAGAGCGCCACCAATCTCGAGGATCCTAAGTTGAATCTGGATCCCTGTATCAGCTGTTTGAAGAGAAGCCATACGTAAGTCATAAATGACTAACTTTTGAAAAAAATCACCGCGCATGTTAGGAAGTTTCTAAAAATAACAGCGTGATTTTAAAAGCACCTGCAAATGCCAACGGTTAATAAAGGTCACCACCTGTTTTCCGTAGTGAAAATGTTATAAACCTGCATACAAGGGTCCACTTCACATCTCAGAGATAATTATTTGAAATTGAAATGAAATTTGGCCTTTATTAAGTGCCAAGGAAATTTTTGCCAGAAGTTTACCCTCCGTTCCAGCTGCTGGTGGATCAGAGGATGAAAAATCTGTTGAAGTGTGGTCCTTCGTCGTGGTTTGGGCTTGAGTCGACAAAGAATGGGGTTGATTTAGTAATGACTTGTACACCTAGAGTTGGCTGTTATTCACTGAGCAAAACACTCAAAACGTCTTAAAGGCCGTTCATTCAATTTGAATCTGCATGTTTTCAAATGGCAGACACGGATGAAAACAAAATGCCCTCTGTGTGTTAAAACGCCACTCACGTGGCTTGTCGTTACACATCTGCTTAAGTAAGCTTATGTACACAAAATTATGTGTACATACATGTAGTGTACTGGTATATCATCCGACTTTTCTTGAGACTGTACTTAGAACCTACAAGTATTAGAACAGGGACATACTGAGCTAGATATAATGAAAGAAAAATGTACAAACATAAGGGAAATTACAGAGGAAAGATTTGCCTACAAAGCGAGGGAAAATTTCTGACAGGTCTGCTTTGGTGATTTAAAGTGATGTGTTAGGGAAACTTGTTAGCAAACCTCTCATTGTTGTGCCGTTGCCGTTTGTTGCTGAGCCACCTGTTAAGAGCGTCGTGGTTGGGGGTTTTACGGAATCGTCGATGGGCTACCATTCGGTGGCGATCTCTCAGTCGATGCATCCTGGACTGCTGTCGCTACCGCAGTGGCAATCGTCGTCGATTCGTCTAATGAAACACCTCTGACTGTTGTCGGCTGAGATCAGGATACGTCGGCAGTTGTCAAAAGAATCGTTGGCATATTGACATTCCTCCTTCTCCGTTGATGCTCTCTGAACTGAACTGCTGTCGATCCCACATTATTCAGCATTGTTTCGTTCAATGAAACATCGCTGACTTGTTGACAGATTTTTAGCTAAGTCGCGAGTAGTCGAAAGAGTTGTCGATGGATTGCCATTTAATGCAGTTCCATCCGTTGTGGCATCCTGGGCTGTTGTTTATCCTACATTGTCAACTGTTGTTTCAATCAATGAAACATCACTCACCGTTGTTGAAATAGTTGCAATCACTCTGGTTGTTACGTCTTCTCCTGAAACAATGTAATTTAGGTGCTGTTCCTTTACTGTTAAGAGGATAGCTTACGTGTTGGTTTAACACGGATTTGGTCTTCTATGTTCGCCCATATACACCGCGATCTAATAATCACCCTTGTTATATATGCCCTTCAAAATTAAACTAATGGGGTGTTGAAAAAACAAAGGCTGATCAGATGAAGGACAAATTAAATAAAATATTGGAATAGGTCTACAACTTGTACTCTCCACTTTTGTGGTAACGATGAAATTACAAGGTTATTTCAGAAATGGCACACCGCTCAAGATTGTGTCCAAATTTCTCACCACAAAGAAGAGTTTTACCAATAACTGAGGTTGAACAGGCAGGATCCCGCGTTGAGGGCGTAATCGGTCCCGTTGCAGGTTATAGTCGTCGTGCCTATTTCGTAAGTGCCGTTCGAAACAACTACGTTGCCTGCGTCGTCGTAGTAAATGATGCCGCTGGCGTCGAATGCTGTCGACAGCTGATGGCAATGGCGACCAAGGTACCAGTGGTGTGGTTGTTCCAGTGTCCGAATATATGGATGGTATATATCTTCGGGACAACTGACATTGGGAGCTTCTCAATAGATAAATATATATGGTGACAAAATATTAATTGGCATACATTCCGTGTTTGCACATATTTCAATTTTATGAGATGGCCCGTGTTTCAAATAAATATAATTAGAACAAATCCTGTTGGATATGTCTTTAGTCTGGGAATAAAAATTGTTACGTCTGTGTACAATCAAATAACTCGGTGTAACCAGATTTTATTCAAATTTAACTCGCAAATGGCTTATTGAAGGACATTACATGTATATTTACTTCCTGGAATTTCGGACAGTTTGCTTTATCTAGTGTTGATGAACGGGGGGGTTGCAATAATTGTGTACAAATGGTAGGTCTAACTGAATTTAATGATATATCGGTTGTAATGATATGCTTGAAAGTGCGCCAGTCTCCCAGTTTCATCCAATTTTCAGCTTTTGCTTCACCGTTTAGGAAAGGCATATTGGACCTGTTTGCTTTTTCGTGTGCCGTAAAATCAGCCCATGAAACCTTCATATTACAGTCATTTCAGTACTGTTGCGTTCCCTAAAATGGTAATATGGACTTTTACTAGTGTCTGCGGCATGTGATATTTGGGGTCCACAATTTATTAAAAGGTGGACGGGATACAAGGATTTGGTCGCCGCACCTGACCGACGAGCTAGGCAAAATCTGCTCTGTGTATAGGATTCTAGCGGCTTAAGAATTAATCAAACCATGAGCGTCGTTGAACAGCTTTCCGTTACAAAATAGAATATAAAACTATCAGGACTTACCAATGACGGTACTGCAGACGATTGCAACACAAAGCAATGGATGTCTCTTCATTTTAGAAACTGAGTTTGCCAAAAAAGTAAAAACTAAAACAAAAACTGGAGACTGAAGTTCTGTATGAAGGCCCACCGTCAAATATCGCTTCCCCCAATATACCACAGTTTATATAGACCCACTCCCGGATATATATTTTTGTATTTGTTTCATGCTTGAGTTTATCGTGCTCCGTTAGAAAACAAAGGAGAACGTCCTGAAATGCATAGCATCCTCCCACGGAAGATTTCAAATTGGTGATGGCGGTGTTTTTCTCTCTTGAATGGGGCACTCAGTCGCGTCTATCCGGTTCGTAAGTGACTTCGACACAAAGGCAGACGCGCCACGAATTGCAGGCTCCCATTGGACGATCGCTAAAGATGCGCGTTAACTTCCGTTTCCGTGGTTCCATGTAAACGGCGATCAATGCATGAAAATGCATGCACCGTGCGCGTGGTTGAAACTGAAGTGACGTCACACTTACGAACCGGATAAGCATTCGCACATGGAACAATCATATCCTATGTCGAATTTTGTTACATGCTCAGCTCACAGAATATTAGTAACTCTAAAATGCCTGTAACATTGTGCGCATTAGGTCAGGATGCCTTGAACAATAATCATATTAATAAAATAACAAAAACTCAACCGGGCGAAAACGTATTGGGGAAGAGGCTGATTGTGAGAAACTGCACAGACTGGCAAACCCTGAGTCCGAATGAAACTGATGACTTCAACTGTTTTTTAATATGAAAATGTGAGTACTGCCTCTGCGAATACAAAAAAAAAAGTTTGAGTTATTACATTTATTACCATGTTAGAGCGTTTTGAGAAACTTGGCTTACAATGGGACAGTCTAAATACACGAGCTGACGTAATGTGGCAAAGGGACACCCCCCCATTGTGTCTCCTTTGTGTTGACGGAATCTTTGGAATTCCTTTCAGATGTTCAGGAGGGGTTGAAGTAGGAACAATAGTTTATGGTATACAGGGTGTCCCAGAAAAAGCTGAACCCTGAGGAAAGGGGTTAATATGCCCAAACCGTGAGATATGATTATAATGTATAAGGATGTCCGAAAAGCAGAACCAGTATTCTTTCTAATGATATCTTGATGGTATCCGTCCTTTCATGCTTGAATGGACACCATTGTCTTGAAAATGGGGCATCCAAACTCAGTTGTAACACTTTGGATAAATAAGTGAATGAGGTTGTCCTGTCATGCTCTGTCAGGTTCATTACACATCAGCTATGTCTCTCACATTATGATTGAAACGCCATTTAGCTGTCTTGTTTTTCTTTCTTTCGCGATTGCGCATGCGTCTGGGACAACCACCAGAAACCCTCTTGAAAGTCAGGGTATGTGTAAATGAACAGCTGAGTTCTGCTCGCGGACGTTACTTGGTTCAAACTTTGTCATCTGCGGCAGTGATGCGTCTGATTGGAAAATCAAAGCTTTCCCTTTTTGTGAAGCGCACCACCTTTTCAATTGATACGATTTCCGCATGAGGTACCTTGTCATTAATAAACACGCATTGCAGGTGCACATCCAAGTGGTTTAGAACAGAAAAGGCAAACCACACTGGGAAGATTTATGGTCTCGCCTTTAATGGGTAACCAACAAACCGTATATGTGTCCATCAATAAAGAACGGCTTAGTTGAAACCAATGAGTTAGATCGGAAAGTATTTAATTAATGTAAATGAGTATTGGTTTTTTTCTTCGGTGCGTACCTGTACGTGTGCATTACCACAAAAATTATCTGTATTAGTTTCATCTTTACGCTGAAAACGGCTCACGTCTGGCGAAACAAATCAATATATTTACATCTAAGCAAATGTTCATGCTTGCATGACAGTGGTGCGTCTTACAATATACATGTATTTAAATCGACGCCAGGTTTGATTAGGAGACAACATCTGTTATTTTTCATAAAGCACGAAAGGCTTCACCATGTGGGTGCATTAAATACAACATACTCAGAATAACATAAGTGGGTCCTTATAATGCAACGTTTTCAATCTCATCTCGATACAGTCAAATGATGCACGGATAATACTGTCGCTCAAAGAATATAAAAAATAAGGAACTTTTAGCAAAAAAGTAATACCCCTGCAATGGATTCCTCTCAAACTTCGCAGAGGAATAGTTATACCAAAGTGACTCCATTTAATAACTTTAACCCTGTGTAAGAGGAGCGACATCTCAATTACAGACCCTTGTACGTTGGAAATTTGTAGGAAGTGTCGTTGTTCACATCTTGACGGCTAAATGAGCAATTATGTCAGAACAGCATGCGCTTTAAGGCAAAATACACATGGGAAACGTTCTTAATAAAAATGTGTTTAAAAGACCCTGTTTGCGGGCACTACCATACTTTCCACAGCTGTTGATCACATTTCAGGTTAAGTTAGTCAGTGCGAGTCCAGTAGTCAGTCAGTCTTAACATGTCACCCAATCCGATTACCCACCGCTACTGTAAGGCTTGCACACCAAATACACCATGCTATAAGCAGGTTGGTATCACAGGGTCGTAGCATGCACTAAGTTCGGCATACTAAATTAAGCTAGACCAGTTTTAACTTAATACTCATCGCAAAAGTGGCTCTCGGTTGTGTGGCAAGGGGGCGCTTTTCATGCCATTCTTACAAGTGTGCCGAACGTAGTCCGTGCTACGATCCTTTGATACTAACCTGCTTATAGCATGGTGTGCAAGCCCTACTTATAAGTAGCGGTGGGTAGTCGGATCGGGTTAACACGAATTAAAGCGTCCGTGACAAATATCAATTGTTTCCAACTCATGAATCGTCCAAAAACGTACGGTCATAGCGTCGCGTCACAGAACTATGAGCATGAGAAATGTTGTCATAAAGCATGGCTATGAAGAGTCAAAACGCCGAGATTAAAAAAAACGGTAGCGAGAAAGAAAGAGCATTGATGGCAACCAACTTTGCCAAAGTTACAAACATCATCCCAATACTTTCCTTTGGAAACGTGTCCTTGCGTAACTATGCAGTCACTCTAAATCAGAAGGAAACTCAACGTAAAGTAACAAAAAGAGTTAATCTGACTGAACCCAGCCATGAATTTTTTAGGAAAGCGTAGTAAGGATTCATCATTCTCCTCATGCTCATAGCTTTTCCTGTCATCTGTTCCGTCATGTTTTGCCCACAGATTCAAATGGTTTTCATGTACCATGTCACATGTACCATGTGAGTTGACCGTCGCGTCGTCAGCTGTCCGATATCCAATCGCTCAAGAGGCGTAACTGAGTTACAATGTCTGTCGCATCGAATATTAAACGGTGAATGGCTGAAATCTGTCCATTATGTTTAAGTTTACCATCGAGACTGCCGTAAAGGTAAAGGGCTGCTCTTAACCTCTGGCATGTTTTCTTTGAACTGAACTTCCATTCTTTGTCATCTTAACAAACCACCGAAGTGTTGCATTGGTTCGCGGCTTTGACTACACTGCGTTAGATAACTTAAATGCATCCCAAGTACATAAGTTGATTTTTAAGCTTGTTGATTGTCCTGATAGTATCACTTCTCATCCCGTTTTTAAGGTTGCGTTACGTCCAATTCCCTGTTATAGTATTAAGTATTAATATACCCACAATATGCCAACCTCGCATCAACCAATTAACATCAACATCAATCTTTCTTAATACTTTCACTGACGGTCAGCATGGTTATATTTCTCTCGGGTTTTCGCCCATAATGATATAAATCCTCCGCCAAGTTCCGGCTGTTCCTTGTGGTTCAGGGTCCCTTTATGTACATTATACCTATATCATGGTTCAGGGACGCATTATGTTGGCGTAGGTCGTAATGCTTTACATTGTTACAAGCGAAATGTGGCCATTCCTGGCCAATAAAGTCACAGCATCTGAGGAAGGGTATAACATACTGTTTGATATCAGATATATAATTGCAAGTTGAATGGCCTATCGCTGCAATCGTGCACAGTTTCACCCCGAAGGTTTGAGATAACTTCAAAATTTTATCTGCACGTTGCTTTTGGCATCTCGGTTGCCATTTCTCAGCGTGGTCGATGTTAACTGTTCAGAAATGGGCGCCAAGACTGTCGTTATGGCAATCACATGGAACGCCATGAGTCAGCCACCATTAAGGTCACAAAATGTTTTAATGGACAAAGTCCCTTGCACAGTACAAATGAATAGAATGTCAGCTTCATATTTTGGAATTAACCCATGACTAATTTGTGGTGGCCTTACTTCAAATCAAGCTGTTACCGTTCAGTACTTGCGGAAACTATGGCTCGTCGACTGATGTCCGCTATTCCCGTTTACCACACGACAGTGGAGAGGTACTTAAAGGTCATAGAATAAAATACCCTCTAAATATTCAGTACAGTTACCCTGCTTTATACAGGCCCTATGTAGCTAAATGAACTTCACTGTAAAAATGTGATGTTATCGGGAATTGTTTTCGACGGACCGGACACTCACGAAACCTTAAGCAGATTTCCAAGTGCCCGACCTCGTGGATCATGTAGGCCCACGCACTTCAGTGTGAGGAAAAGCTGCCTACTGTGTTTTTGAGGTAATTCCGTTGACCTCGTCACATTTTACAGGCTTTTCGCAGTTCAGATTATCCCGGTTAACTACTCCAAAGGAGAGGACTCTTTGTCCACTAAAGGAATGTGTGTGTTCCGGATCGGCACCGTTGGCTGACGTCCTTGGTGTCAGTGCTCGCGAGCGGCTTCATCTTGACCGAGTTCACTGAGGATCCCGGAGTTCGGAATTTACAGCAGGTCAGGGAAACCGTGCTGCTGTTGGAGAATGTGTACAGATACGGATTGAGGGAGGAGTTTATTGGGATCACGAATACCACAACCCAGGCGTAAGTTTCATCTGGAATGTCGACAGCCCCGCTCATGGACAGAATCCCCATGAGGATCACCGGCATCCAACAGCAGAAATCTGTTCCCACGATCAGCAGCATGCGACGGGCCATGGCCATCTCTTTCTTCCGGTGTTCCTTGTCCTTCCGCTTCTGCAGCTTCTTGGAGGGCAGTTTGACAATGACCACGAAGGCTATGGCCAGGTAGCACAGGAGAACAACGACGCAGCACACCAGGTTGATGCCGAGGTACACCGTCACGGAAAATGCCCGCGAAGGGGTGGCCGATTCCTTCACGGTTCCGTTGAATTGCGTTTCCCCAAGCAGGATGCGGTCTTCCTGTTTGGACGTCCGGTTGGACTTGACCAGCGGCAATCCGACGCAAACGTCGCTCAGCCCATAGAATCCGTCGATCTTGTCCTGCAGAAGTAGCGGCGGGATGCTTATCAGTAAAGCAGTGCACCACATTGCCAGGCTGGCTACCCGCGCTGTGTCTAATCGCAGCCATTTCTTCCCGAACGGGAACACCACGCACAGAAATCGGTCGATGCTGATCATGGTGATGAAAAACACAGACGCTTCAGAGCTTAGCATCGAGAGGAAACCGGCGAAGTTGCACAGGTGTCCCGATCTCCATCCCTCCACGTGCAGAAAAAATGTGTCCTTGAAGTACGCATCAGCGCCCGCGATGATCAGCATATATGCACCCATGATCAGGTCCGACACGGCCAAATTGAGAATCAGGACCGACTGTGAACGCTTTCCGGAGTCAGTCATCTTCAGCCTCCACAAGATAATGAAAGTGTTGCCGAAGAGGGCGCTGATTCCGAGGCACCATACGAACACCCGCAAGACCGAATTGTGCATAAGTCGATCGCACGTAAAGTAAGAGAGTGACACTACATAGTCTGGCCGGCTGCCAAGTACGCAGTTGTCCCTAATCCCGTTTGGCCTGTAGTCAACCAGACAGCACATTCGTTGGTCATCTACAACTCTGCGAACGTTACAAGAGGCAAAACATGTGAGATAGCTCTTGTACAGGTCTTCAGGTTCCGGCAATTCCTTCTCCTACACAATGGGCGACTTTAAGACGCTTGGTGGCGGCAAACATACCGATCATTTTTACCCATGGAGATCATAGGGCGTTTTCGAAACGAGTGGATTCGGCTTAGACTTTGGTTTCGCTGGTTCCTGTCAGAGTTTGAACATGTAGTTTTGAACGCCACTTCAAAATGGATGGAACCTTCGGGACCAAAGTCTAAGCCGACTCCAGTCATTTCGAAAACGCCCATAGATACAGGTATCAGGCCCATTCTTGTACGCTAGGCCAAGTTTGCGCAAGAACAGGGCAACATAATGTTGCATGTAACGTGCACGCCCTAACGAGACCACAAGTGCGTACCATGTAGGCGTCCGCAAGGTTCCAATTTGTTCGTGCGTATGGTGCAATTTTACGCGCCCTGCGTCATCTCCAATTTTACTGTCTTATGATCTCTATGTTTTTAATAGTGCTGAACATGCGCGCGTTATTCTGAGTAAGTGTGCATAGTTCTGAGCACGCGCAATACTATAAAGAAGGACCGGTATGTCTGCCCCCACCAGCGTCTAAAAGTCTCCCATTGCTACACAGCCAGTGACAGGTGGGTGACTGCGATGATTGCGCAGTTGCTATACATTTATGAAAGATTCACTCAAATAAGTGCTACCTCCTGTTTGCCACAGTACCTGATACAGACTAACACGGTTATCCACACAGTTTTGTTCAAATAGGACGCAAAGACACTTAAGGTCTCTTTATTCTTTTAGAAAATAAATTGATTCAGTACAACTTACAGAAACCTCAAATCACTCATGTGTTCCAGTTCATGCTTATCTACTGTGAAATCTTTGGCTTCCGTTTCATGTCGACTGAGAGCCCTGAAATATACGAGGTTAAAAAGCACGAATGCTTCATTGATCAATTTGCAAAAACACAGTAATCGACGCCATGTTGAAACGAGACTTTTTGTAGAAGTAGCAACTCCAAATCCCACTAGGCAGAAAATGCTGTCATTTTCTATGTGTTCTTTTTTAACACGAGATGTCGACCATAAATTGCTGTTATATTTTTTTTCATTATTTGCTTTATTATAATTTCAAAAACCTTTGCTTTCTGGGCATCTGCAACATCATTCTTGATATTGGATCTATTAAAAAAGGCAACTCAATTCGGGAATATCGGAATTGCATTGCGAATTCCCCAAGGTTCAGTGTTTAATCTTTCTTGGTGTCAATGCCCTAAAATTCAAATTTGGCTGCGCTCAAGTGGCCTTGGATCCAAGGAGTAAAACAGTTGGTATGGAACATTTGCCTCCCTGAAACGAATTACTCACATTGCCAGTTGGTATCCTTCCCGCCTTACTGTCCTAGAACTTTTGGAACCCAATTTATGCAAGCTATTATGATGCAACAAATCACAATATGACCTGAACTTGTTACAAACTTTCCATCAAAAATGCACGATATAAAAAATTAAAGTTGAAATAATGTATAGAAGGAGATTTTTAAATAACGTATTCACTTACAATATTTGAAGACTGTCAAGACCATTTAATGCACCCGGTTCAATGACTGTCCAAGGGTTGTTCTCAAAAGTCCTGAAAAGTGTGTCAAAATCAGAAAATACGTACACAGTCACTCACATTAAATATACTACTTGTTACAAAAGATGATTGCTTCGTGCTTTTCGTTTGTGTTTAATACGCAGCGTTTCACAGTAGTGCGCCTCCAAGCGTTTGCAACGCGTTGGCCAACACGCGTTTGGAAAGGGTCGACAGATTTTGCGCGTTGTATTGGCCAACACGTTGCAAACTCTTGGAGGTGCAATATTGTGAATCGCCCGTTTTGTAAATAGGCTCTGCAAAAAAGGGATTTTTTGACAGCCATATGCCAGCTGCACGTTTCTCTGCTGGTTTTTTTTACATTTTTGTGTAATGAATAAGAACTGTGAAAAGAGTGTTTATTTCAAAGAGGTAGGGCTTGTTCGCGCAGAAATTCAAAAACGTGCATCGTTGATGTTTTCTTCCCCATATAAAACATTTTTTCCTTCTTTGGCAGAGTAAGGAAACCGCGTTGATTCATTTGTCATTCAGATTCATTCAGAATTAGTTTGTCTCAATGGTAAAAATGATCCCAATCACTACTTATCTGTTGAGACTGTTTCGAAAGCGGAGTGAACACCATGCAGCTTTAGGTTTAGTTTAGAGGATCCATTTCCAAACTGTGTCAGCAAACTTGGTAAGTAAGCTTTTCCAAAGCCTTTGGAAATGCCTGATTAACATAATAACCTAATATATAGTCATATGGTGTAATCACACACCCCCCTTTAAATTTTAATGTCCAGGCAAGTCGGGCGGATCCAGGATTTTCCATAAGGGGGCGTGAACGAAAACAGCAATGGTAACGCAAAGCCCCTTAGGCGTGGGGTTCAGGACATTTTCGGATTGTAGGCGCTCTGTGGTGCAATTTCAGGCAGTTTTTTCAGGGCAGGGTCAGGACAGACATCCCTGTTTTTCTTCTCCCTCCCACTTTTTAAAAATTCATTTATGTATTTTTTATTCATTTACTTAGCGAAAAACGGAGGAAGCGCCCTTGCAAGTCATCATCCCCACCTTTCTCCATCTTCCACCCTTCCCCCAATATCTGGCACAAATCTATGCTACCGCGAAAAGGGTCCAGGTGAGAGTAGGAGGGAGAAATTGTCTACTCACAATATTTCTAGTGACTTCAAGTGTGAAAACATGTCAGTTTGCAAAACCGTCAGTAAGTTTTCTCGTAGTTGTCTAGATGAAGAAAAGAAAGTAATACAAATTCTTGCAGTTATGACATTAATTACCATTTTACTGTCAGATGTAATTTATTTTTTCCTCCAATGGTTTGTCTAGTTAAAGTTAAAAGGCCTCTCAATTTCACACAATAATTTAAGCCTGTTTGGGGAAATGCAACAACAGTTGTTTGTCTCGATTCTTTCCGAAACTCTGCGGAGAATGTGACAAAATTCAACTGGCATACAACACGCCCTCTAATAAATACTGTCAATTGCATGAAGAGGATGGGATTTCAATAGAAGGGGTTTCATGATAACAAAGTATAAGTCAGGGTAATCAGTGGTACCAAAGAAAAAGTAAGAGATATCTGAAGATAAAATGATCCATAGATTGAGGCTATTGGAAGGAATTAAGTATATGAAAGGGGCTAAGGGTACAGTCGGTGGTGATTTCTGTCATGTTACTTTTAATGTTAAATCAGTAGGGCCTATAATATTTGTACGTACGGTTCAATTAAAAGATGACAGGAAACTGAGATATACCCTTACACATTTAATTTGTCAATGCCAGAACCTTCACTTACAAATTTCTCAGTTTCCCAAGACCTCTGAATGCATGCGGCTCAATCGAAGAAATTTGGTTTTCAACGAGGTCTCTGAAACAAAAAGCAAAAGCTCTGTAAAATATCATCGTATAATCTAGGCAGCTTCCGACATGAATAGATGCATAATTTTATCAGGACATTTATTTGGTCCGAGGCCTCTTTCTCTAAATGACCAGGACCACACCGACCATGAACACATCTGAGCATTATTCTGATTTGCTAGTTTCATTCTCTAGCTGCTGACGTGTGTTTTGTCGCCATTGAAATGTGTTTATATGTTAGTGTAATAAAAGTGCGTTTCAGTAATGTTTCCACCAGAAGAAGTAAGAGCAAACTTACAGACTGAGGAGGTTGTTCAGGTGCCGAAACGTATTTGCTTTGAGCTCCCTTATGCGATTTGTTCCAAGACGCCTAGGAAAAATGAAGATCCCAGGTTTGTTTCAGCTTCATGCATTACTGTTTTATCATGCGACAAACTGCGCCGGGAGAGATATACTACGTAGTTCTTAAGTTCACTTTGCATGTATTCTGCGAAACTGGAGACCACTGACTTACTCGGATAGAGAAAATAGACCTTAGAGGGCATTCCTTCCTTCCTTCGGGATACACTCGAGTAAACTTTTTGTGCATTCATTGGGACGATATCTAAGTAACAAAGAACAGCCTCTGGAACACCAGCAAAGCATAACCTCTATTCAACTTTTTATTTTTATTTACTTGTCTCTCGTGAAAATTTATTTATCTCCAGCTTAAGTATTATTTCTGATTTTGGTACTAACAATTAATTTGGTTCGTGTTCATGAGGCACACACTGCGAAAAAAACAACGACCTCACATCGAAGAATCTTGCCTTTAGCCTTGGCTTTTTTGAGCTTTTAATCATTTAAAGACGCTCTCAATATCTTACGGGCATATAGAACTCTTGGGAGTTGATCTCTTGTGCTTTCCAGGCCTTTTTTTCTGAAAAGCACCTTGGCCACAGTGAAAACAAGAAGGGTGTGACATTAATTTTGGATTTTTTTTCAAATTCCACAGGGAAAGTGGAGAGCACTTCAGTACAACCTCTCGGTGCGTTATCGGAAACAAAGGAACCGCAGTAAAATTGATACTAAACTTACAACGTCTGCAAACCGTTGAGTCCCTTAAACATTTCCTCTCTCACCGATGTGATGTTATTTTCATCAAGACGCCTAAAATATATAACGATTGTGATAAAAATGAATTACATCATAATTTTTCCTTTGAAACACACTGATTTCCACCAATTGACTGTAAAAAATCTTAATTATAGACCAACACTAATTTTCTTTCGAATTTGTGTTGCTTAGAGACTGAACTTCTTGTAGAAAAACTTGTAAATCCTGTCTCTCAGAAAAATCCTGAATTATTTGAAGCTGTTTACAAAAGATAAATTAATGCTGGCTTACAGAAACGTCAGTGACTCCAGCGCTTGGAATACCCCGGAATCTATCGTGTTTAAATGATTCTTGTTGGTCTTCCTGCAATAAAACAAGATTAATCCAGAAAAAGTTCATATTAATTTTATTAATCGTTATTAAATTGTCAGCATGGCAGGACCGCGTTTCAGTTACGATTTCACTCCTGCTAAAGAACAGTACTTAAAACATCTTTTTGTAAACGCGTGGAATCCAGTTATGCTTTTGCAAGGGGTTTGCGGTTCACAGGCGTTAAAAGATTTTCCGCTACTGATGAAAAACATCGCCCATGTTCTTGTATTCCGGTACATGCATGTTTGTGGCTAATCACATGTTCGATTCTGGACTGATGAAAATCGCTATTACCGAGGGCCGGTGTAACAAGTGAAAATGCTGAATGGGCTTATATAGGCCTACTTACAGAAGAATCAATTTACTCAGTCCGCTGAAATATCCACGTTTTAGTCTTGTCAGCTGGTTGTCTTCCAGATCTCTACATAAAACAGCATATAATGGAAACACGCTTTAAAAAAGACTATTGATGTTTGATTACTGTGGCTTCGTTTAGTTATGCAGGAAGTAAAGTTCCACCTCTGTATTGGAATAAAAGAAACCCAACTAGCATGAAACCGGTGAAAATGACGGGCAGCGTAATAAACGATTCATAAATGTGTGGAATTTGAGCTGTTTGGGGGGGAGAGTGAATCTCAGGGCACTTTACTATGAAGATGCCCTGCAGAAAGACCTTTTTGACAGGCCTAAAAAGTGTATTAAACTCACAATCCACTTACAAAGTCGCGAGATGTGAGAATTTTTGAAATCTTCCCGGCTCCAGATCCGTGATGTTGTTTTTCCTCAGTATACTGCGTCGATTTGGAAAGAGAGTAAAAACAAAAAGACACCTTAAGAGGGTTATTTAAACAGGTGTTATGGAAAGATTAAGACGAGGCAAAATTCGATCCTCATAAGACTTGAAAGTTCCTCACTTCAAGTAGAATAAATGGTTTTAAACTGATATCTAACATAATTGATACATCTTATTACTCTCTTGACGACAATAGTTAGAGCTGACTGCTGGTGTGCAAGATACAGAGTGTGTCGATGAAAGAAAATGCCGGTCATTTTTAAGCCTCAAATATCTACTTGAGGTGTTTAAAAGCAACGCATTATTAACCATTACAGTCCTGAATCCTCCAATTTCAATACGATGTAACATACACCCTTTAGGATTATGGCTAAAGAAAACAACGTGACCCTCTTTTATTTGATATTACAGTGTATTCAGCTTTGGGGGGTCCAGAGATGTTCCCCTGAGAACAGAAGCATTTCAAATTGAGTACGCCTGTTTCTTTAAAGAAATAATTACTCGGTAGAATGTTTCAGTGTTTATCTATAGGCAGTGTGGGTAGCAAAAAAAATCGAAAAATTCTCAAGCCAACAGTGTTCTCTGAAAACTATGGATGTTCATTAATACCGGTGCCTCAAAATTAAAATGGCCAGTATTTTCTTCTACCATCATGGGGGACGCACAGTATAATTTCTTTTGCAATTATTTCAATAAAAGCAGCTAGTTCAAACTCTAAGCAGGGTTGTCTGAACGCCAGTTCGCCAACATGCCAGCCAGCCATCTTGCATCCGGCCATCCAGTCAGCTGGCCGTCTAACGGACGGGCCAACTAGCAGGCCATTCGGCCACCACAACGTGGTCATAAAACGACAGAGAGACGTACTGAAGCGGAACGTTTAGGGACATCCATATTAACACCGGCTGCTTTCAGAGCAACGGAGTTAACAAATCTCTAAAACTCACAGTTTCTTCATTATCCGCGGAAGTTCATCCCAGACGTTGGTTAGATTTGGATGGTTGCTGCAATTGACAATTAGGAGGGCGTTCACGGGCGTAACCTGACAAGAGCAGTCCTTAGGACAGAGTCGCACATCTGCATTAAAGAAAACGATAAGCGGTAAATTCAGATCTCGAAATTTTGTAATACAGAACTGAACCGACATCTTTTTAAAGCTTTCCGAGGAGGCTTTTTTAAATAGGAGCCGGTGGTTTAAACCACTGTCTTCACAGACTCATAGGCATTCGCTGTATTCCAGTGTTTCTGAGACCAACATGGTGTCAGACAGATTTCCCTGAAAACAATGCTAAATTTCACGTTTGAAGTGCCAGAAGTAAGTGAAATTTTTGGAGCTTATTGTGTTTTTGCTCAATGAATGTTGAGTTGAATACTGCGGGAAACAACGCCCACCAGATGGTATTTCGTACAGATTGATTAAAAGACTAGAGGGAGAGACAGTCCAGAATCAATCCTTGTATTGAGGAAATAACACGGGAGAAATACCATCCTTGGTCCCGTCATGCTCCTTTTCTCCAAAATGCATACGACACAGCTGTAGCCAGACTGTGTACTGTATTTTATACCTCCGTGTTATTTTATGTAACATTAGCGGTGAACAATTCCTGGCGTAGCATGGGTATTGACACATCTCCATGCAACCGAAGAGCACCACAGAAACTGAGTAGTGCCTTTAGCTTCTTAGGTAAGCGTTTATTTTTGGTATCCGGTTCGTAAGTGATTTCGTCACAAACGCAGACGCATCACGATTTGCAGGCTCCTACTGGATGATCGCTGAAGTTGAGCGTTAACCTCCGGTTCCATGTAAACGGCGATCAATGCATGTAACACTATGTGCAGTGTGCGTGGTTTAAACTGAAGTGACGTCACACTTACGAACCCGATAGGCATCTACGACAGAGCAACAGAACATACCACAGGATTGCTCGTCCTCCGCCCGGGAGCAATCGTCAATGCCATCACAATGAAACCTCCGCGTCAGACACGCATTGCTGTTTGCACAGTATTCGTTGCGTGGGCAGGAGTGCGCTTCTCCGAAAAGATGGAAAAGATTATACCAATTAGTATCACCGGTGCGTCATTGATAATTTCTAAAGACAAACATTGCTGTCATTTGAATGTGAATAAAACTTGATCGCAGGAAAATGACGAGAAAGTCGTCGTTAAAGCGTAGAGGCCGGTTCATACTTGGCGCTAAAGCGAACACGAACGCAAAGATTGTGACGTCAGATCAAATTGGCGCAGCGAATTCGGAAATGTTGGACACATTTCAACTCTGACGAATATTTCGCTGCAAATTTTCATGGACGTCCAAATTCTTTATGTTCTCGCATTCACCTGAAGTATGAACCAACTGGATCGAAGGTTTGCCATACCTCGTACTGCATACTGTACAGCATCATACTCAGCAGATGTTTTGAGTGAACAGAAACCTAGCCACTTGATTGAAAACTATTTTGGGTTTAAAACACTTAGACCAGAGGTAACCCTTTAGAGTTTTAAACTCTTATCTTGAGTAGATGCCATGTTAGACGGTACGGAATGGGCATTGGTACATGATATTACATGGTCAGAGCCTCGTAAGAAATTGCTTGTGCCTGAGGTTTGGTACTTTTCGATAAAAAAGCAGACCTCTAGTGGAGGTCGCTGGCTAGTGGCTGCTACCATTTACCACTGAAATATGCGTTACTGCTAGCCGCAGCCAATTAATTCGGACGCAGCCGCACTTACGACAGTTGCGTTCGTCTGATTGGTCAGGACAATCGATCAAGGCGTCGCATCGTCCGCTGTGATCCACACAAATGTTTCGGTTTTCGCACAGGAACCGTCTTGTCGCGTTGCTGCACTCACTGATGAGGGATGCATCTGCAATATTAGAGCATTGAAATCATGAAGCAATGTTGATTTGGCAGACTGGGAAGAGCAGTGCCTACACAAGGAGTTACCAATTATTACGGATTTTCCCAGCGTTATTTCTAAAACTGATTATATTTATATATTAGTCATATGTATATTTGCTCATTAGAAAATGAGAGAGTGGCTGCAAGAACACAAGAACACGTGTGCTGCAATGAATGTCGAGAAAATCTTCATTTAAACATGCGTCTGTAACATGTTCCCATTGAGTTCATTAACGTGGTTAACGGGTGTGTATTTTGACTTGAAATAGGTGCCACTGAGCGAACGTACCCAGTTCAACCTAACCACTTGAAAAACCTCGGTTGGTTTTTCGGAGTTCGCATACAAGTTGAATGCATTACCGCCGAACGGAATGACCCAAGCCCTTGTCATTTCAAAATCGAACTTACTGCTAAGGACTTGCTCGAGTTCCAGCCAAAAGCGTCGGCCGGAAGGTGCAGAATCGTAGTCTGCCCAGCCATCCGAACCCGCCAACAGCTTAACGCCCACCACGTGACCAGTTGACATGACCATCTGAACTTTGACCTCCCGAAAATGCTTCAGGACGTAATCGGCGCTCGTGTTGGCCAAGGTGTGGAGGTTAGCAACTGTGAAACTATCTCGGTAGTGACTGATGTGTAGATCGTGAATGATGAGCTTGATCTTTGATCCTGGAGTGGCTGTTACTGTCCAATTACAGTGTATGGTTGTGTTGACGTCACTGGGATAATGTGGTGATTTCAGGTGGTAGGATCCCGTTGGTCCAAGAAATATTGACTCCGTCCCGCATACATCTGTTGAAATAGAACAATGGTCGACAAATATTCAAAACAAATCTTTCATGGAAAAAATGAAAATTGACGTACATGGTTGTCACTTTTGATTTTAGCTGATAGGCAAATATAAACAATTTGTCCAAGTCATGAATACTTCGAGTAAACCTGTCGTTTTCCAGTGCAAGTCAATGCGAAAGGGAACTCCAATGGAATAAATGTGAGGGGGTCATTTGGTATTGCTACGGATAGCTGAGAACAGGAGCGTCCCTTAGCAGTAACAACAGTAGCGGATATGATTCTATCCAGTGGTCTACTGACAAACATACCTCGAGAAAAAGATGATACAGGTTATGAAACAGCTGGGAGGTGGATATCGTATATATGGAACAGCTGGGAGGTGGATATCGTGTTTATGGAATAGCTGGGAGGTGGATATCGTGTTTATGGAACAGCTGGAAGGTGGATATCGTGTTTATGAAACAGCTGGGAGGTGGATATCGTATTCATGGAACAGCTGGGAGGTGGATATCGTATTTTAATAGTCGCATCAACTGGTACTGTTTACAGTTTACTACTGTCATTTAGGTGTACTTGAACTCAATTGAGTACAACTTTCACTTCGACAATTTTGAAATAAAAATAGGGGAGACGGAAAAACAGAAGAAATTTTCCATTCACATTGACCATTGAAGACGTCAGCACTGACATCATAAACCCCAAGAAACAAGAAAGACTCTACTTGTGGCTTTTTGCTGTAGGCCCGTTTCGAAAAACGAGGACACGATGATCTCTTTGTCAGTCCCCAACACCTCCATTATGAAGCTCATGCAGAGCTAATAGCAAAATTGTGTACATGACGTTGAAGAACGTTAACTAACGATCTTGAAAAATGTTGGTCCGGAAATCACTTTACTTACTGAGGAAAATAATCGGGTAATTTTATTTTCATATACTTAAAAGATATTGTTGCTGCAGGGAAAACAAATGATCAATTTCGCCTGCGTACGCGAGTGGTAGAATTTATTCTTCAAAAATCTACACAATAAGCCTACACCAGTAACATTGGTCTGCGCAATACAACTCCATCATCCGATTAAGTTATTTTAGCTTGAGACATTAATAATTAACAATAAGGCAATTAAGCTGTTGCAGCACATAGCCAATGCTGCCAGTTTCTGTCTGTACAAACAATTTACGATTGGTGTGCCTAACAGATAAATGTGTGGCGACTGTATCAAAGAACATTCGAGATGTGTTGATTCCGCCCTGCTTCCTTGAAAGGTGAACCGTCTACCAGCTGAAATAGTTCAATATTCGTGAGGCCAGACAATACCTAAAGAACTCCAGTTCTGAGCAAGAATATTGCGGCTGCCAAAGCGATAACGGGCAAACATTGTCTCCCAACTGCAAATCTTGTCTTCTCGGGTTTCATATCCTAGCCTTGTACAAAGTGCAGTTTCAGCCTTGTTTAGGTACAACTTCAACTCGTGCTAAATGCATTTCAAACAATATGAAATCGACAATTCCATGAGCAACCCAAGAAGTGCCAATTGCCCTGGGCGGAATCTCTTGTGCACTTCAAGCCGTCTGAAATAATATCTGACGACCTGGTCACCCCACTTGTTTATCAATTGGCCACAAAAGTTCAATTGAAACCGAATAACCTTTTTTGTGAATCTCCGTGGCGCTATTTGCGATATTGAAAGTCACAGAATTTTGAAAACTGACGTGAAATGAAGCCTAAATACGGAGAATGTAACATGAATTTCACTCAGTATCGTTCGCTGCAAATACATTTTTTGAAAAGAATTTTAGTTTTTTTCCCCCACAATTTTTAAACACTGGCTCTTTTCCTGGTGCTCGTAATGCCCTGACTAGGACTGTGATGTTACTTCAGGCACTCATTTTACCCTAAAGGGAACGTTCTGAGGATCTTGAGAACGTTCTGAGGATCTTGTAAACCCAAATGTGGCTCACAGTTGCAGTGCAAATGCCTGCCCTTAAGATGGAACTGACTCACAAGAAAAAAAATCAAAGCCTTGAGTTACTGTGTTCACTGGAAAGTAAAAACGGGTGGGTACTGCTCAACATGTGCGATTACGTTTGGTTTGGTTTAGTATATGAGTAAATAATACATTGAGCATAAAATATGCAAGGCTTCTCAGAAGCTGGAAATCAAATCATATACTGGGATTTCTCTAACCAATCGCAGAACATGTACAACAAGTAAACATAACATGTAAATGGTATGATCAAATTAGATTAAGTGGACAGCTACTGAAAAACGAATAGGAAAACGGCCCGGAGGCTTGCTATTCCTTCCAGTCGAAATGCACCTTTTCTCGATCTTTTTCCATTTTTCTATAAATAAACATAGCTTTGCAGATAGCAGTGCTTTGAGGAAAGCTTAGTTTTCTTATTTTCACTGACACCGGAGAGGAGTTTTAAGTGCATTTTTGTCTTAAAGCGACACATGCAGTTCTGATTTCAGTCCTAAAGAAAAATGTGTACTGACTGTACGTCCCGTCAGTGATTAGAACCCTCTGCGCATAACCAGCTGTAGGGAACTGCCCGTGAACATTAACATTTGCAACTCATACTAAGTAAAAACCCACCCATCGTGTAAACGCTGTTTGTATAGCCATTTCCATTTTCAAACAAAGGCATATCCTATGGGAATTCGAATTAAAGGACGCATTTTGCAAAAGGGGAAAACTAAAGCAGACAGACCAAGACCGCAACAAAATATCAAACAAATAACTGGGATGCATGTGTTTTAAGGACGAATGGGGGTCACTAGGGTATGAAAAGGGGATATTAGGGAGAGGGTATTGAGGGAATTTTATCACTCAATATTTTGCCTATTGTAGTAAGATAATTATTGAAACGATTGGCTCAGTTGTATGGATCATCAATATTTTCACCGTCAATATCAGTACTGTGGATTTCAGGATAATTGCGTTATTAATTACTTTCAGTAAGTTTCGAATACTGGTTTTCACTTGTTGAAGCCGGTCAAATTACTATGTGCGTTTAATGGTACGAAGAGCATTAGTTAAGACGTTTTCATAACGAACATATTTTGCTCGATTGGAATCAGTACGACGTGACATATATCGACGGTAAAGCTTATGATAACGGATTTACATGAGCTTACAGTAACCGAAGGAAATTTGGGTGTTACCTCTCTTGACAAGGATGTCTCTTGTGAATCACACGTATACTTGTTGATAAGTGAATCTCAGACATCCGTAGAGTTATTGAAAGCAAGTGAGAGTTAACCAGTCACAAGAAGTCAGATCATTATTTAAATTATTCCTGTTTTCTTTCGTATATTTACGTGTATACATAGACCTGCATTGGAACGAGCCACAATTAAAGGGAATAATGTAAATATTGGAAAATGGTCAGAAATATCAGCGATTGGAACACGGGCATCTGGAGATTGTCAATAAGTGTAGCTGATGTATCAAGTGAGTCTTGTAGGTTTGTAAATAAGTAGCGCAAACTAAAATGAGTGAATTGTATCAAGAAATTCGTGGGACTGGTTGCTATCAATATTCATAAAGTTCACGTTGAAATCACCATATATCAATGAGAATTTACTTTCTTTTGTGACATCTTCCAGTATTGCCCGGTGACTTGTTATGAATTGGTTAAAGTTGGTTAAACTCGGTGGTTTATAGACCATCACACCAACCAACAGATTTTTGCACTGACAAGGAGTGATGATTTCAGCAAAAAAATCATCACTCCTTTTCCTTATCAAGATCATCAAAGTGGAGACTTGACAACAGATACAATGCTACACTTCCTCCTTTCCTTCTGTGTTTTTAGTCTCCAAGTTATAACCGGAAATCCCGAGATTTGGGTTATGGTTGACATTTAGCCAAGTTTCACTCATACCGATTAGTTGAGTTGTGATTTAGTGGGTACAAACAAACTTTCAAGTTAGCAATATTTTTATTCAAACTTCTATCATTAACATGTAAAAAGGAAACTTTGTCGACGGCATCATACTTAAAAAGATCAACAAATTTTTCGTGGGAGTAATTTTCTGTAGAAATAAGTCGAAAAGTGTTTTCCGAGTCATCGATCTGCACATGAGTAGTTGATTCTTGTGGGTTAGACTTTGGCGAGTATCTGGGTTGGTTAGTAACCGGCAGGTATTTATCCATCCCGAGCTGAAGTGCACCCCCAATCGGCAAAAGAAAGACAGGTGGCCACAAGCGGGTTCTTGCACGCGTTTGCGTGTACGCAAAGACCTTACATGGCGGAATAAATTAGTTACGCGTACTCAGCGTGTTCCGCGTCAAACGCGCATTATTACTTGCGTGCCTCACGGCGCGCCCATGCGGTGAGCATCCCCTAAAACACGCCCTCTTTTGTGCCTCTCGGGGTGGATAGCGACATCGTTGATAACTTGAGAAAATTCATATGAGTCAAGGCCGGTACATGGGAATGCATCTGCAATGCAACATGGACAGAACCATGGATCGTCTTGATTTGGCAAATTGATATAATCAGCAAGTGTCAACTCTGCACAATTTAGATGAGTTGATTTGTTTTGCAAGAATCACAAAGAATAGCTTTCTGATTACTTCTTACCTGGTTATGACAGATTGGACAAGGGAATCTAGTTGGCATTATTTATAATGAACAAGCGAGACAACACAACCACTATACAGTTACAAAGCTGGACAAAATAAAAACAACACACGAAACAACCCAGCACGAACGAGGGAGGGTAACAGTTACATAAGTAGACAAGGTATATCAATTATGTTTCCAGTGAGAATAAGTAATACATTACACCAGGTAAATAGAAAGACACTGCATCCATATGCAATTAATGGTTAGGGTGCATATCTTTGTCCCTCAATGTACAGGTGCCCGTTCCGAAATGCCCGATTCTTTCCATCTTGATATGCCTTATGCACTACTTCCTTTAGGCTGCTCTGTTTTTTGCGAGGTGAGCAGCTGGAAGATCCTCGACCATAAAAATTCCACAGCTGGAC